TTATTTAAAATGGCTCTTTTTATGTTTGTTTGCTCCTTCTTTTTCTCAGGGCCAAAGATGAGTCTGGTGGTAAGAGAATCAGCCCCTGAGATAATAGAAACATTGCTTCTCTTGGTATTTCTCTTGCCCTTCCCAACTAAATACTTCACTTCTCTCCTGCTCATCATCTTCCTAGGAAATTCTGTAAAAACCCACTCTGATGAGAGTCTTGAATATTACTTTAAAATTTTCAGTACTGTAGCAAAGTCTTCCAAACCTCCCTTAGACATATCTACAAATAATAAATCTATATTTTTATTTATTATAATTATAGTGAAGACATTAGTAAATATAAGAATTTCATATAATGAGAAGGATTGCTAAAATATTCGAGGCTGCTTGCTAAAATTCAAACTAACCTGTGAAAATCTTATTCTAGAACATGTATGGTATAAGGCTTATTTAATGTTTATTGTATACGAAGAAATTGGAAAAGCATCTTTAATGAATAAATCTCTGACTCTGCTATCATTTGCCTGTATGTATTGAAGTAAAAGGTTAGTAGAAGAAAGCATAAAAGAGAATCTTTGAGAACGTGATTGGTAGGCCAGTATTTATGAGGTAAAACACCAAAAGCATATACCATAAAATGCCAGCTAAAAAGTAGTTCAGAAAACTTTGGCTCTTTTGAATATATGGTTAAGAATATAAAAAGGTAAGCCCCAAACTGGGTAATACATTTATAATAAACATATATGACAAAGAATTTGTATCCAATAATCCAATGATAAATATGAGCAAAATATTTGAATACTCTTTGCAAATGACATATACTAATGGTTAATGGGCACATGAAATGATACTTAACATCCTTAGTAATCCATGAAAGAGAAAGTTTAAATCACAACGAGGTACCACTGCACTCCCACCAAGTACCTAATTTTTTTTAAAAGACTGGGAACACCATTGTTTGCAAGATATCCTGAAAGTGGAAGTGCAAAATATTACAATCCTTTTGGAAGACAGTTGTCAGTTTCTTATAAAGTTTACATAATACAGGATATAAATTTGCCACAAGACCCAGAGATTTCATTGTTAAGTAATTACTAAAGATAAATTAAAACACACGTCCATTAAAAGATATATACATGAATGTTCAGAATGGTTTTTCATTAGAGCCCCAAACAGGAAGCAACTCCCATCAATAAATGAGTGGATAAGCAAATTTCGGTCCACCATGAAATACTACACAACATTTTGAAAGGACAGACTACTGAAATATGCACCAATATGACATAATGAATTTCAGAATCATTTTGCTGAGTGAAAGAAGCCAGACCCCAAAGAGTTCATGCTATACATTTCTATTTATATGAAATTCTAGAGCAGCCCAAAGCAAACTAGTAATAGAAAGCACACTGTTGTTTCCTGGCAGCAGGGATAGGGGATAGTTGAATACAGAGGCACATGAGGAAACATTTTGAGGTGATGAAAATGTTTTGTATCTTGATATTGGTGGTTGTTACATATATGGATACATTTGTCAAACTGCATCTAGTTTTACACCCCAAAACTGCATTATACTGTAGGTATGTTATATTTCAATAAAGTTGATATAGAAACGGAGCAGCTGGAGATGAGAGATCAAATCACTTGTTAAGGGAATTGTCTTCTAAAAACAGCAGCAACAAAGATGTGAAAGTGTTTTTTAAAAATTAGACAAGTAGGAAGAATTGTAGAGAGCAATATTTAGAAAAAGGAGGGACATTAACTAGAACATCTCTGATATGCTCAGTAAATACGTGTCTGGGGATCACTGAACCTAAAGATCATACTTAATTTTAAGCCCAATTTGGAGAAAAATGAAAGAGAACATATTTACATTAAACAGAAATAGAAAAGGGAGGTGGCCAATTTGAGCAAAATAACATTTTAATAGTAGGTAAATGTTAGGTTCATATTATTTGTCTATTCTAGTGTTTGAAAGAAAGTTTATCTATTGGACTTAGAACCTGAAAACCAGATTAAGAACACTTGTTAAAATCGGCTTTTCATGACTAGGATGTCTAGTGTGTCTCCAATGGATATAAAAACAAAACAAAACAAATGTTTCATGAGAATTAAGAAGATAGGAGATTTGTTCTGTTGAGAGATTTGCTTCATTTTAAAATAAAAATAGTTCTTCTATTTTCCCATAGGATTCACTTTCACATAGTTGTGAACCTATCACTTGTAAAATCTCTGCAATATATCAAAAGTGGATGAAACCATAAATCTAACAGAACATTTTATGAAGAAAGCTATTATTAACAAAAACTGTTAGCTTTTAAAAACATCAAATATAGCTTATTATTTCATTTAGATATTAAATTATATCAGTATTGCTATCAATGAATGAAAGAATAAATGGATTAAAATACGAAATATGGATAAGACTTATCTCTATAAGGTTTACAATAGTATTTTATCTAAAAGAGTAAGCAAATTGAATGATACCTAAATTACAGATTACTGAAAAATGAATGGGAAAGCAATAGGATAAACGTGAAAATACTTCATCCATGTATTTCCCAACTTGATAACTAAGTGCAGTTTATCAGATGTTGCCATATGAGATTGATTTCTTTTTTAAAAATATTTATCTCAAGATTTCCTAAGAGCAGTAGAATTAAAGTGTCACACTATAAGATGGATTTGAAAATTGTAGCTAGAGCACAGTTTTCTCTTAGAATTTCATTTAAAGAATTCGTGTTACATAATGTAAAATATGGAGTCTGTTTTTTACTGTCCTTTGAATTATACATTTATTTATGGAAAATTGTGGGAAACCTCAATATTTAAAGAACCTTGACTTTGCATTTATGTTCTTATGAAAATTAAAACCTTCAATGGCAAGACTGATACATGCTTTTCAATTTTTACAAATGAATGTCATCTATGTCTCCTAAATATGTTATTTATTTATTTTTACTTTTATTTTTTACAAGAACCAACAGAGTAAGAATTTATTCATGTCCCCCACCATGGGAGGGTATTTATCTATTCATACATCCACCCCCATGACACAAACACCTGCCATTAGGTCTCACCCCTAATACTGGTATCAAATTTCAGCATGTGATTTGGGGAGACAACCATCCAAACTATAGCATTCCTCCTCTGGCCCCCTAGAACTCATGTCTTCCTCATGTTGCAAAATAAAATCATCCCTTCTCAATAGTTCCAAATATATATTATATATTTAATATATATGTATAATTGCATTTTGGATTCTGGGGTACATGTAAAGAACATGCAGGATTGTTGCATAGGTACATACATGACAACTTTAATAAGCTATACAGGCTGTTTATACTACAGGTAAATATCAGATAATTCAACTATGTACAAACTATGTTCTATCACTTGCTTAAATTCTTGTGAGAAATCCAACATTAAGAGAAGTACCTCAAGAGTCTTTTTTTTTCCTCTGTTTTTCAGCATAAGCTTCATTCATTTCATATGTTAACATCCTGTGGTAAATTAGTTAGCAAGACCAGCCTTGTTTCTCTATTATGTCATATAATCAGAGAGTAAGAGTCAGCCATTCATAATATTTCCTGGTTTTGATCAAATAAATTATGTACAACTCCGGATAAATTTTGAAATTAAAGTCAGAGACTAACTCACCTCAATTATCTGGTGCATGTATTTTCCTGCTTCCTTTAGTAGATTATTGTTCAATTTTTACATAATTTTCTTCTTTAGACATTTTTACTCAAGGCACTGCCTTATATCAATTTCCAAAACGGGTGTGGTATGTGTTAAATTAGCATTATACTGAATATCTTGGTTCCTGTGTCGGTAGTTCTTATCCTTGGTTTCTGGACTAGGGAGTCAGAAGTAGTCCCAACTTAATGGATATTTAAAATGTGTCCAGTATATTGCACATTTGAAAACGTGACTTGAAAATAATCTTTGAATAGAAGGTCTGTAAGAATATGTAGCTGTTGTAGCATCTATTCTTTGAACACGTTCTTTTGTTGAAACTTAAGTGAGTCAAACTTGTCCACTATATCCTTATCTCACTTGAGGTGAATTCATTCTTTGGCTTAAATCCACATTGGAAAATTTCTCTGTGTTTGCACATATCTTTAGAGACCAAGCTGAAAAATGTAGGTGTATATTTTTTTAATGTTTTATTTACTTTTATTTGTTTTATTTGCATGTGGGAGAATTCCTCTGGGAGACTGCATTAAGAATATAATAAAATAACTTCTGTTGCTACCTATTGTTAGTATCTTTTCCTTGCTTTTAGAAAAGTAAATTAATGATGCACTTCTAGCCAATATCTCTTTTTTAGGCTAATCTCTCATTAAATAAGTTTTAATTGGTTATATTCTTAAAAGACCAGAAAAACAGCCATCAGCAACATTACAGGCATTCTCTTACTTTTGTGTAAATATTTTATCATTATATTTTTGTTTAGCAGAATAAAAGAAAAGTAAAATGTCAGGGGCCATGAATTAAGGAATTTAAAATTTTTTATATTTTTTTCAGTTTGTAATTGTGTATTATAGCAGATTGGTTTACATAATGAAAAAAATGGTTGCAATGATTTAAATCTTAATAGAAGAAAAACTGTAATCCATGTTTGAATATCAATCTGAAATACATTGAAATAGCAACATAATGAATTATTACAGGTATAGTTTAATTTTTTTAAATTGTAAAACTATAAATTAAACAATAATAATAATAAATACCACCCTAACACAAAAAAATGGCCATTATATTTGATAAAATGCACTTTAAAAGGTACCCGGGGAGAGATAATTTGACTAATTTCCCAGATAATCATTTCTATATAAGAAATGATTTATTATATAATATGACTAAATCTTTATTTTAATATGATTTTTTCTGTGTTCACATTTTACTTATTTACTTATTTTAATTATTTATTTCTTTTTTCCTGAATTATGAATTGTCAAAGTGACTATAAAACAATCTTTATTTATTCAATTTCACTGTCCTTGCAGAGTGCAGACATGAGTCCAGCAAGCAGTACCACGTCACTTCCTGTTAGTCCTCTTACTGAAGAGTCAGTGCCTTTCAAGGTAAAAAAACAAACAAGAAAGCATTATTTATCAACATTTTAAGATAGTTAATAAATAATGTATGTGTAGATGGTGAACTATTTAATCGTCAAGGGTCTGATTTCAAATCTTAAAATCATTTTCTTTGCGTTCTATTGTCATTCTATTGCTAACTAAAGGTAAATGTTTGAAATAAAATTTACTACTTTATGGGACAATTGTTTGTCTTACATGTAAATGGTGGTGTTTTATCATAATCGGTTGATTCTCGTGAATTGGAGGTTTTAAATATTTTGTTTATATTAATATAAATCATAGGGGTAGAAGGAAACATTCAGTACTCATCTAGTGGTTAAATTTTCATTAGCAATTTTAGGTTACTAATAATTAATGACATAGTCCTTGTAAGATAAGAGTCAAACTCAGGAGTTGAAATATGGAATCATTCCACCAAACATATTGTATTTGATAAATATTCAAGTAAATATGTGAATAAGTATGTGATATGACTGATAGCATTCTTTTTCAGTTTGGGAAGCTATGTATATGACAAATATGAAGTCTTGTTTTGCCACTTAAAATTATATGTTTCTATTTAAGCAAAATCCTGTAGATCAAATATTTTATGTTTTTGCCAGGGATGTTTAGATATTATTAGGCTTATTATAAATAAAAACAATTCTTAAGAGCATGAGAAAAAATGTTCTTTTTTTATAAAATGTTGGGATAATGTACTTACGTTCACTGATTTCAGTATAGTTTTGTTTAAAGACAGGTGCACATTTTGATATTATCACTTTTATGATTGTAGTATTTTAACACACAATTATTATGAGAACTTTTTTATTTTTCATTTAAGGACTGTATCTTATTCAATTTTATATTGCTTGTTCCTAGTACAGTGGTTGACATGGATTTCTATATACTCAATATTGCTGTCATGTTGAAATAATAATTATAGAAGGCTATGAATTCCCATGAGAGTATTTAGTTTTCCAATTATGGATACTTTTTTGCTTAATAAGAGTCAAATATTTGTTAGAAGGCCCTTTCTATACCTACTAATTGTTAAATACTGAACAATATTCTTATTACATTATTTATTGAGAAATATTTCCTTTATTATTACACAGATAAATAAGAAAATAATACGAATGCTACAAAGTTTAATGTTACCATTTTATGGTATATGGAACAAATTTACTGAAAAAGCATAGTTTTTAACAAGATTTTAATTAAATTCTCAAAACCACCAGAAACCATTTTCTCTTTTTAATATATTGACAATGATTATAGTCTTTGAAAATTAATGTATTTTTTAACAGAGGTTTAAAAAAAGTTAGACATATTTTAGAATCTGCTGACATAAAGCTAATATAAATCTAATTATTTTAATTAGTTTATCTATCTGGTTCTGTGAGAGCAATAGTTTGGGAGTGAATGCAAATGATTTTATAAGAAACTAAAACTTCCAAGTGCTTATAACATATAATATTGGCTTTCAATGGCCAAAAAAGTTATAGTGACTAGTTTGGGAGTGAAGGCAAATGATTTTATAAGAAACTAAAACTTCCAAGTGCTTATAACATATAATATTGGCTTTCAATGGCCAACAAAGTTATAGTGACTTTCAATTTACTTCTTTTGTGAAAGGAATATTACCTATATATTTTCAAAAGATTTAATCACCTATAAAATTATCACACTAGAGTTTACAAATATCTAAATTTAAAATTCAAAATTATGAAAAAAACTTTATTTGCTTCTTTCATTTTTAGTTTATAAATTGCCACTGTGTAAATGAGTAATATAATACTTATTTAATTTAAACACAAAATATATAGACCTATTCTTAACAGAATCTTAACAGAATAGTGCATCGTAATTTCAAGGATATGTTGAAAATTATATAATACATAGAAAACATTTAAGTTTTCTTGTAACTATATTCTGAAAAAGTCTGATATTATAATTTATATGTCTAAAACTGATTAAAATTATGATATTTGAATAGCTAGGTAATTGGAAAATAAAGGTTGTCATCTTTGCCTGTCCTCCAGGAATGTGACATGATCTTTCATGTTAGTATAAGATTAATCCTCTCAACCTCTTAGCTTACTTTTTCAAAGATACAGTTATTTCACCACCCAACCGCATCACAATCCACCCTAATATTAGAAGCGCAAAACTTCTTCTAATATTGGTGGCTGGTTGAGGGACTTGACTTGACTTTTTCTTCTCAGAAACAATGGGATTACTAGAAGAAAGGTATTTCCTCCACTTTCTTGGTCAGTTTTGGAAGCACTCAGATCAGTTGGAGGAAGATACCTTATTCTGGCTGGTATGTTTGTCAAGGTACATGCTTTTCTTTAAGCATTACCTTTAGAATGACATTCAGATTAAGTTGATTTCAACCACATCATTTAAGATGAAGACAAATGGTAACATTTTAATAAAAAATTAATACTTTCCCACTAATATCCATGCCTTTGTTCTTGAATATTAGATGAGAAATTGGCTATTGTTAAGGATGTACCATAGTAAGATCTATTAAATTAAGTATGGAAGATAACAAGATGGCATCCTAGGGATTATCCCAAGGTAGGCTAAACTTTAGAGATACGTGAATTTAAAATGACAATTCAGTCTTCTTTGCAATCGAATGTTTATTTTTTTTTTCTAATGTGGCAGCATTTTTCAACTTCAGTATTGGAGCACATTCTTTCAATTAAATAAAAACAATCTGCCCTGAAAGACAGTCTAAGCCCCACATACATAATCATTTCTCTATTTCCCCACACTATGATTCAGTTCATGCTAGTCTCTTATTTACTGTTTAAAAACCATTGCTGGCCAGGTGCAGTGGCTCATGCCTGTATTCCAGAACTTTGGGAGGCCGAGGCAGGCAGATCACAAGGTCAGGAGTTTGAAACCAGCCTGGCCAACATGGTGAAATGCCATCTCCACTAAAAATATAAAAATTAGCTGGGCGTGATGGTGTGCACCTATAGTCTTAGCTACTGGAGAGACTGAGGCAGGAGAATGGCTTGAACCCAGTAGGTAAAGTTTGCAATGAGCCCAAATTACACCACTGCACTCCAGCCATGGTGTAGCTAGCCTTTCAAAACTGAGGACATTTCATAAAAATTCATCCAATTTTTTTAAACAATTGAAAAATCCAGACACTTTTTGCATCTCTTTATAAATAGAACTATTTTACAAGAAATGAGAAGGCTTTCTCCATCTAGACAGGACACATGAACTCCCGGTCACCACAATCATCACCATCCCTACTATATTCAAGCCAAGCGATGAATGCATTTGACTGTATTTCTTCATAGAAGATATTGAATAATTCATAATCTTCCACATATACTACACATAATAAATGCCAGATTTCTTGGGCAGTCTCTTGGTACTGAAGAGTTTCTAGGATTCTTGATTCTAAAAAGTTTCATTTTAAGAACTGCCAACTTATCTTACCTTTATAAACTATTGTTATGCATACATTTGGAAACAAGAGGCAAATGTATAGCCTCTAGTTTTTGTTGTTTTTTAAGAGAATATTCAGCATTATATTAACTATACACACATATGGTCTGACTCATGCCAATATATCATTATATAAGAGCCAACGGATAACCAATTTTGCATAAGTGGGAACAATATGTTATCAAATATCCACAACAGAATCATAAAAGTTCAAGATCATTCAAGTGAGACCTCGCTCTAATGAAACACAAAAAAACTTAACCATTAAGTTTTTTATAGTTTTCTGAGGACTAAACCTGAACAAAATTGATGTTGTTAATTTTAATCTGTTCATTCTATCTTTTTCTATCTTTTCCCTCTGGCATTCTCCCTGATTTCTTGTAAACATTTAATCACTTCCCATCTCATCTGCCTTCCATCTCCCTCTGTTAGCCTTGGTAACACGCTCCACACCAAAGATGACTTCAAGCCACTACATTTTACTCTTCTTTAGTAGGACGACCCTTTAAATTTTTTGTACATATGCAATTACTAGCAGCCTCAATCCGTTCCTGGAACTAACACTCTTGAAGCTAAAGCTGGCTCATTGTTCTTGACCCCTCCATAAAAGTACATTCTATCACAAGCCATGTTCTTTTTGCTGATCATGTTAATCAGTTTTTAAATTTATTTATACTTCAATGAAGCATGATGGCTACATTTTAGTCTCTTTTCATATTTAAGGAATATTTTTCAATTAGATATGTTAGGAAATTATCTTATCCTACTGTACTGTATTACATTTGTCCTGTGATAAATTCCACAGGAAAGAAAAAAACATTTGATTGTATTGTTCTTTAGACTGCTGAAGACTTTTGTGCTTCAAAAGTGCACAAAGGCATTGAGGAATCCCTCCAGTCACGAGTCCTTGGTCAAAGTTTAAAAACAAATGTAATACATTGCATTTCTTGGCCCACTGACTATTGCTTCCCTGGGATGTTTGCATTCCAGGAATACATAATGAGATTGAGTGTCACAGTACCTAGAAAGTACAATGGTACCACCCTCTCTGAGGTAAGGCCACATTCCGGAGGAACTGACAGTGTGGCACTTGGCTTTTTCCTGGTCCCTTTCTTCCTAGGAAATCCAAGTTTCTCTGAATCCTTTTCCTCATTTCTAGTTATTACTCTTTACTCTAAAGAAACTCTCCCCAAATTTCTATCAGAGATGTTCCTTCTCTCCTTAAATCAGCCAGGGCACTGAAGAAAACAAGAAGAAGAAGAAAAAGAAAAAACTCTTTGATGTCTATTTTAGGAATAGAATTGCATCTGAAGATTCTTCTACCATGACATGAACCTAACATTAATATGCACAGAGCCACTTTACTTAAGCAGGGAATAGAAAGGAGGAAGAGAAATAGAGAAATAAATTGTCTTGAAATGTTTTTTTTTTTTTTTTTTTGGTAGGCTGGGTGCAGTGGCTCACCCCTCTAATGTCAGCAGTTAGGGAAGCCGAGGCAGGATATTCATCTGAGCTCAGGAATTTGAGCC